CTTTTACTCAGTACTTTTACTTTTAATACTTAAGTAGATTTTGTGTCAGAAATTTACTTTAGATACTTAAGTACAAAAATATCAGATACTTTAAGACTTTTACTCAAGTAATATTTTTAGAGAAGACTTTAACTTTTTCCAAAGTATTTTATGATAAGATACTTGTACTTTTACTCAAATATCACTTTGAGGTACTTTAYAMRACACTGACTCTTTCTCTGTTTAAAGTGTATGACTGCACAAAGTGTGAAATAAAAGACTGGATCCTAAATTCAGTTAATCAGCCTCAAATTTCCTCCACGCTCATTGTGTTTAACATTCCTAATGTTTTCTATATTAGGAGTAATGTGTAGTAAAGCTGCTGATATGTATAGTTTGTTCTATGTTTTTATATTTTATTTTTGCTTTATATCACCTTTGTTGGAGCCTCTTGATTCTCAGGTGACCTACCTGGTAAAATAAAGGTTATCATAATTTTTTTAATGACATAAATAGAGTTACTTGCATTTTAAAGAGGTTTTTTTGTCTTTCGTCCTCTCAGCATGGTTTTTAAATGTCAGCTTTGTGTTTCCCTGTGCAGCGCGAGCACACAGACACTTTGATCCACCTCAGGATGATGCTTTCATTTACCGACTGCGTCCTGGAGATGGCAGCGTTCCGAGCCCGGGGAGCAGAGCTGGGCGTGTCGGCTGCGTCCCTCTACCCTCCCCAGGACAGCGTGGTTGTGGACCAGATCAGCCAGCTCAGCAAAGAGTGGGGGTAAGGAAACAAAGAGCCGCCTCAGTCTGTAACAGAGCTGCAGTTACTTACTATGCTGCCCCCTGCAGGCAGGTGGAGCAGTTGGTGCTCTACATGAAGGCAGCTCAGCTCCTGGCCTCCTCTCTCCATCTGGCCAAGGCTCAGATCAAATCTGCTAAACTCAACCCATCCTCTGCTGTCAAACAAGGTGAGAACCTCCTTCCTCTGCCGTTAGCATTAATGTTTACAGATTCACAGATTCAAGCCTGTCTCCTCCTCCTCTCAGTGGTGAAGAGCTTAAATGAGCGCTACAAGAGCTGCATCTCCCTCTGCCGCCAGCTGACGGACAAACTCAACCACTTCTTCTCTGACAAGCAGCGCTTTGCGGATGAGATCAACAGCGTGACTGCTGAGAAGCTCATCTACAACCAGGCCGTGGAGATGGTGAGTGGCGTCAGGTGCAGGTGGAACAAAGCTGAAGCCTGGAGAGACGCTGACCTTTGTGTTCCTGTGTCAGGTTCAGTCGGCAGCTCTCGATGAGATGTTCAAACAAACAGAGGACATAGCTTACCGCTACAGCAAGGCTGCCATGCTGCTGGACGGCCTGTCCAAGATCCTGCAGGACCCGGCCGACATCGACAACGTCATTAAATGTGAGCGCACAGGCTCGACGTGTTCACCAACAGCTTCAGTAGGATCTTTCTTTAAGAAACAAAGATTTGTGCTGAAATATGACGGAGTATTAGGGCCACACAACAAGATTTATTTTATTTTTAAATTACGAGAATAAAGTCATAATATTACGACATTAAAGTCGTTAAAATAGTCATATTAAGAGTTTAAAGTCATAATATTAAAGTCGTAATATTATGACTTTAAAGTGTAACTTACCCCGCCTGTGAAAAGATAACTCCGCCCCAAGGCGAAATTTGAAAAATGCATCAAAGTGGGTAGGGGAGGGGGTGTGGGTGGGGAACGGGGGTTAGAGAGCGGAGGTGTGGCCAGGAAGAGAGAACGTGACAGGCAGCTAGCATTAGCATAATTGATGCTACATGGAAAATGACCACAGTATCGCAGAGAGTTACATCTCTGAACGTCTGAGGTGGAGGATTTTCACCCCACACCAGCCTTGGACAGAGGAGGAGGAGCGCTCCTGACAGAAAAAAATAAAAGCATACAGCTGCTCATGATCGCTAGTTTAAATCAGGAATAAAAGTAGTTTACCTGTATAAAGAGCCCTAAAATCCATAAATTTTGCAGAAAATCCTTACAACTCGCAGGGGGGGGGGGCTGCGGACATGAAAGCTCCTGCTGCGAAGCAGGAGGAAAGGAGAGGGGGGAAAGTAACTTATAGCGGCAGAACAGGTTGGAAGATGGCTGTTTGATGTTATTTATTGTTTTTAAATCATCCTATAGGCTCTGRCATGTTAGATAAATTTGAAAATGAGGTTTTTAAAATATCCGTAAGACTTGAAAAAATCCGTGAGATTGCTCTATACCTCCGTATACCTGCAAAATGATGTCAAATCCTCATAATTTACAGATAATCTGTATAAGTTGCTGCCTTTCTTTCCCTCCTCTGGTCTCTTTCTCTCTCTCTCTCTCTCTCTCTCTCTCTCTCTCTGTGTGTGTGTGTGTGTGTGTGTGTGTGTGTGTGTGTGTGTGTG